CTAAGTGTTACAGACACAACTTACTAATTAATATATAACCATGCTAAGTGTTACAGACACAACTTACTAATTAATATATAACCATGCTAAGTGTTACAGACACAACTTATCTGACTTAAAACTTTATCACTTAACAAAATAGGAACAAGCAATAGGAAGTATAAAGAAATCTTCTGTAAAAGTCATAACAGTAAATGTACCAAGATTCAAGAAATTTCAGTAATAATAATAATGACTTAGAAAGGAAAGTTACTACAATGGTAAACATTATAGTAAATATAATTAACCAACACTAATGTAACTTAACTAATGATGTAACATTACATCATGGGAGGTAAAACTAATGATTGTCAATACACTAAAGCAGTTCAATATTGCCTTAAATTATTTCTCAGGAATTATAGAGTACATGCAAGTGTTTTAAAAAGTTTGTGATATTCTATAAAACTTTTAAACCATAATTAGTAATATAAAAATATTTTTGAATTTTCTACAAATTTTCTGAAATTTGTTTGGGAAAAATATGAATATCTCTGTCTATGAAATCTTGTAATATTGAACAACTTATTGTATCTAAAAAGTTGTGAGTAGTAAATATTGTTTAAAGTGTCCATTTTACTGAAAACTTTGAATTTCTTCAATGTTTGATTAACGATGGTGATATTTAAATCCAGATAGTGTGCTTTGTTTTTACTGAAAGAGCTTTTTCCCCAGAATTAGTTAATAGAGTTTTATGTTAAAGGGTAATTAAAATTTTAAAGTGTTAATTGTTTCCAACCATTCTGCAAGTGTACTAGTAAAAAGCTTTTAGCCAGTAACCCATCCACTAATCTTTGAGATGAGCATAAACTTGAACAGATGGACAACACAATGGGTAAAAACATGAAATTAATTTCAATACAACCAAAATACGCTTGTCTAAAACACAGAAAAGTAAAGTGTATTTTCCTTTTACTGTTTATTAGTGTATTACATTCCTTTTATTGATCCCTCATGTATTGTTCAAAAGCATCAATATCAATCAATATTTTGGCTGTAGAAGCTTCAGTGTTCACTGTACCAAAACGGTCTTCCAATCATGACCGTAAATCATCATAAATAGTAATTTCAAAGTGGAATTTAAAATGGACTTATTAAATTGTTATTAAATCTTTATCAGAAAAGCATTAGAATGCATTTAAGAGCATCTAAAATCCAAAACTTTATACGCAGACCCCCCCCTCCCCCTCCAGAAGATTCACACTTTTGCCACTTCACTTCTTTAAAAAATTGGACAGAGTTTTCGAATTCTGGCTAATACCCTGCTTAATGTCAAATGTTTTCCCATATATCTCCACTGCCTCAAATTTAGTTGCAGATTTAACAGCTTGATTAAGTGCCAAGTTTAAACTTAAGGACAGTCTAAGATAGAGGGGGTGGGGAAGAATTGATATTCAATTAGAAATAATGACCCTGAGTACCATAATTTCTGAACCTCTTTTTATTCATATATAAGGTTTTCAAAACTTTTAAATTTAAATGGGTAATATACTTATGAAAAAATTACAGTTCACACAATACAACCTATTCTTGGCTCACATTAATCCTATTCTTAGGATCAGTCACTCATAGTTGTCAGTCATAGAATATATATATCTTCTCATCTGATGTCTAGAGGCCAAGTTATCCAACTAGCTTTGATTACTTGACTAGCTTGGTGATAATGTGAGAGGACAAGAATACTGTGGGCCCTGATTTCCCTGGTGTTATTGGTTGGACTGGGCTAATGATGAGTAGTGTGGCATGGTGGAAGTCCTGATAAAGCTTTGGATTATATATATCTCAAAGAAAGGTTAGTAGTAAAAAACTGCTTAGTGTTTGATGAATTGTCTGATGCTTTTTCTTCAGTCTTTGTCGATTTTGCTATCAGTTCATATTACAGAGAGCCTATCAAATAAAGAGTAGTTTTGCCTACACTAGCAGTGCAGATTGTTTCTGAATAAAAGTTATGTTATTTGTGTGAGAAACAATTTTGTCAGTCATTTTCTTTTTTCAGTGAAGTTTGACTTATTTACTTTTTATATTACATTCCTACTAAACATCCTATTCTGTGCAAGTAATAACTTACTCACTCAATCCAACTTCCTCTGAGAATACTATAACATATTATAAGTTATTCTTGAACTTAATTTCCATGCTTAATTAAATACTATAAATATTTCCTTCATACATTAAATCTTAAAATTTATAGTAAGTTATATAATTCATTTGCATAAACATCACTAAGTCAAACAACCATTAACGACAAATGCAGCCTGAAGCCTAGTAAACATGAACTGTATATTTGTACTTAACATCTCAAATCAAAATTACATTTAATCAGAATTCCAAAAGATTATAAATCTACCATAACCAAGACAAATATTACAATTAGTAACTCAAGTATAGCAAGTTTTTACAATAGCAAATATGCTCATATTACTTTAATAAATGTAGTATTCCCCCCCCCCCTTTTTATAATTTGTGGAAATAATGAATATATTTTGTCTGAAACATTTAAGCATCAAATTACATAACACAATAGGTATTTTCAGGTCACACTGATTTCTCTTAAGAGTGACAAGATAGGTCCACTTAACAATGGAAGGTTCGTCGTGATATCTACTGCAAAATAATTCTATGTTATCTGTATAATAAAATTCATAAAAAAATAAAAGAGTGAATACAAATGCAAGATCAAAATAAACAACCTTTATTTGAAACACAGTTAAAATATATACTTCATGTCTCACAACAGACAGTCATCTCTACTGGAGAGTTAAGTCTGAAGGTAGTCTGGATAAGCTCACAAACTAATTCTGTGATTTCCTGTTTCAGACAGTATATTTGGATACCATGTTCCAGACTGTATATATCAAGATTGTGTCCAGACAAAGTAAATCATATGTTAGCAACTTAAATCATAAATGCAAGACTTACCCAGAATGACTAGTACTACCCACATGACTGGTCATTCCCATGAAATAAGAGAGAGGCAATTATCTCAAGAGGTCCTTAACTGCCAGTAGAAAAGATCCCTATCAATTCTACATACTATGAGTGACCTTGCAGCTGTGGTGAACAAAATTAACTGGAGAGCTACACCAGATATTTCTGCTTCATAACTGGATATTTGATTGAGATATCAATTATGGAGTAATACTTGAACTCTTAAACGAGTCAATGTTACATGGAATAAAAGAGATTTGACACAAGAATAAAACAAAATAAACAACCTTTATCATATATGAAATACAAACACTGTGTGTGTACCTGAAGTTTAGTTACATCAGACCACTGCTTTTACTAGATATTCTCATGTTAAGATCATTTACCAGACTGTCAAATCCAAGCTTTCTTGAATACAAGGAACCTTGTATTTATCCTTAATGACATGAGCTACCATGTGACTGGTCATTTTTATTACACATAGGTGAGGTCATATCCTCTAGACATCACCTAAACAACCATTGAAGGACAATGCTAAAGATATTCTTACAATAACCATTATTCTCCATAAGCACCAACAAGACCAACTTAATGGTTTTCTTGATTGTGTTTTATGTATAACTTGCACATATTCAGATCAAATAATAAATTCAGAATAAATATTATACTGCAAGAAGGTAGAAAGACATAGTATATTCATATACCATGCAGCTATCTTTCCCAGAAGACAAAAGGTGCTACTCTAGGTGAATGGCAAAGAACAATAGGTAGCTAGAACAAAAGCAACTTAATGACCTTCTTATCTAATGCATTATGTGGAAATTGCACTAACCTACAAAAATTTCCTATTTTAATAAAAATAAGTAGAAAATACATGACATGCTTATATACCATACCACGGTAAGATACTGACCTTGCTGGCTTTGTAGGATAAAACAGGAATTTTAGTTTCAGTGCTTGTGGTCTCTAATGAGCCTAAACTAGATGAAATGTTGATAACAGCTGCTCGGGAACATGACATCCCTTCACCAGGCACTTTACTTGCTGCAGTTTTAAGAAGTGGGTAAAAAGCCTTTGAAGTTTTATTCAAAAAACACCAGTAAATTTTTTTTCAAGTTTTGTTTTATAAAAAGAAAAAACATTCACAAAAGAATTAATGTTTAATATGATTTAAACAGTGTTTATGACCCAGCCTTAAGTGTTCTACACATTCGTAAAAGGATTTTCATAAATACATAAAAAACCAGTGAGCAACTTGTCTCTATATTAACTTAATCCTTTTCTTCATCTTTCATTTTGTTTGTAAAATATGTACTGATGGCTATTGGATTATGAAGAGATAATACTCAAGTTACCACTCATCGTTAAATATTATAAGAAGTGAATGGGGGAAGATCATTTAGCCCAACAAGCTATATTTTGTGTCACAAGGAATTTCACATATCACAATACATGGTTTCAAACTTAACATATCTAAATAGAAAGACAGTTCTACATAAAGAACTAGTTTTTATGCATGTTTTCAGTTTATAAACATCTGGTTTCAATTTATTTAAATATTATTGATACATACAGTGAGCATTTATACATTGTAAATGAAATAAACAAATGATTAAGTTCTAATAATACACTGCTTCTTAACTAAACAAGTACTTAAACAGAAATAATTATGGTTACTTGTTAGT